CTCATCCGGGAATCAGCCCCTCTCCACAGGGCCCTCCTCCCTCCTCGGCGCTTGCAAATCGGATCCCTATCCAGGCTCTCGCCGAGCTCCTCTCCCTCCTCACCCTCCCCAGCACAGGGCACTCTCCTGTCTCCTGCAGGACACAGCAGGCAAGGCTGGTGCTTACAAAGGACGTACCTTTTCCTTTTAGTTCCTCGAAAGTCACACTTCCCTTGCGGTAGGAAATCAAGTTCTAACCTGAGACATCATTTTTCTGCAAACACATTTTTAAGTGTATGACACAGTATTGATAACCACAGGCGCGGGGCTGCACGGCAGATCCTAGCACCTAATCACCCCCGTAACTGAAGCCACGCCCACCATCGACACTCCCCCTGGGTAACCGTTCCTGTCTGCGTAAACGGCGAGTGACCACAAGGCGCGAGGGCAGAGGGTTCCCGCCGCTGGCTGCAGCTTGGCGCTAACAGATGGACCGTGCGGGCCTGACAGCGCGCAGACCAGCTCGCCGGCTGAGCCTCCGCCCCGCGGATGTGGACAGGCCAGTGCCCAGCACCACACAAGGCCACAGACGCAGCGATCACTGCCCACAGCCTGCGACGGCGAGAAGGCTGCGATTTTGCCACCTGAGGCCTGAATCAGCCCCAGAGCATCTGACTTCAGTGCCATCTTCAAACACACACTGAATTAGCAAATTTTAATTAGTGTTTTTAAAAGGTGTTTTTTTTTTAAACCTAGAAGGCATTTTAAAGACCACTTACTCCACACACCACTCCTTTCACAGCTCGGAGCTAAAGAGCAGCCGCGCTGGGCCAGGACTCTGAGTGAACATCTCGTCCCACGGCCGGGCCTGTGGTCTGTGAGCTCAGGGCCCCCAAATCGGTGTCACCTGGACCCCAGACTCAGGAACTCAGCGGCCTCCGGGCCTTCGGCACACCTGCTGTCCAACCGGCACCTCCAAAGTAACGAGCCACCACACACTTGAAACGGGTAAAGCCTATCGAACGTGAAGGCCATAATTTAAAAAGGCAAAAGCCTAAAGAAGTAACAGTGCAACAGTGAACTGTTAAATGTCTTCCTCTCTCCAAAGCTGCTCTGCGCCTACTCGCTGTTGCGGGAGGCAGGGCTTCCTGCCCCCAGCCCCACCCTGGCAGCCCCCGGGCAGTGTGTCAGCGGGCTCCGCCGCCCCGGCTCGTGTCGCTGCCTTTGGAAAACATGTCCAGTGCAGCGCCACGTTGACGTTCGCCGCGGGATCTCTCGTTCGCAGGGATCATAGTGGCTGAGAGGAGCGGTTATTGTAAACGTCAGTATCACATAATCGCACGAGCAAAGAGCCCGGCGCGTAGATGCGACCACAGCGCATTGGTGCCATTTGCTGCCACGGGAGGATCACGAGGAGGTGCGAACCACGGGCTTTGGGGTTTGAAACCTCTGGGCCTCAGTTTCCTTATTTGAGAAGGGAATATCTGCGGGGCTGCTGGAAATCTTAAACAGGAATGGCAGCATTGTTTTATGATAAATGTTGTGTTTCTATTTAATAATCTTCCTCTATTATATTACTAACATACTGTCTTCTAAATCTTAAATCAAAGCCTAATAATACCATAACTTTTGTGCAAAATAAAATACAGAAAAAAACCTAAAGACACCTGCTGTTTTCTGACCCAAAACCACCTGTTTAGAGTGTTGTTTTCCTTGTTTAGAGTCCACCTGCCTGCCGCCTGTGAAACACGATTCCGTCACCCGAAGGAGACGACAGGCTCTCTCTAAAGGCAGACGAGAGGCTGCCTTCAACTCGACTGCAGTGAGCAGAGTAAAAACCACGACTTTTGATAAATCAGATAAAGCCTGAACATTTTCCCTTCAACAGCCTAGAGAGCGGAAGGGGAACGAGTGGAGAAGGGAGGACGTGGGCGACCAGGCCGGCGGCAACCTAGGAACTAACTGGTCTAAACGCCAACTCTCAGCCCCCCTCACCCGGCCCCACCGGACCTGTCTTCAGGAGCGGCCCAGCGCTCCGCGGGCTGAGACCCGCCGGTCCGTGTACTGATGAGCAGGAGGAGGGGGGGGAGGTGGCGAAGAATTCTCAGCTGAAAATAGGTTTCCGCGTGACTCACTCTTTCCATAGGAAGGAAAAGATAGGTACACACCGAACCTTCAGTATGAAGAGGCAACTCCCCAACAGGGTTCAGAAGCCTGTATGGCTTTCTGGCAACCTGGGCTACGGGAGGGGGCACAGAGGAATCCTGCAGGATTCCACAGGCAGGATGCAGGGATGGGGAGCAGAGAGTAACCGGGAAATAGTTCCCTTTGGGACGTCATCTTCCGAAAGAGTCTGCTCAGGTGTGGGCGCGTTGCCTGTCTTGCAGGGAGGAGAAGAAAGGAGTGACTGTCGGCCTCGGTGGGTCTGAATCTCAGGGAGACAGACTGTGACTTTCCTGGGAGTGCCCGCGGTGGGGGAGGTCAGAGAGACCTTGAGGCGGGTGGGCGCGTGGACGCAGGCGTGCGCGGGGAATGCAGGCGTGCAAGAACACGTGTGTGCACGGATAAGGAACCACTCACTGTGCACCGACTCCCCGCCAGCTGGAATCCCACTCTTCCCTCACAATCTAACTTTAGAGGCATCTGCTCTGAGGAAACTGCATTCTTCTGAGCTGCCAGAGTATCGTGCCCTGTGTTTATCCAGAACCGCGCCGCCGTGCCCGTGTGCGGTGCTGGTCAGTCTGTCTCCAGCCGCCACGAGCTTCCCTGGGGGATTGCGGGGCCCAGTGCTTGGCTGAGGACAAGAATAGCTGGAAAGATACCGTTTAGTTAGGAATTCAGCACTGACTGGTGGCTGCGTTTCTCTTTTCACTCATTCAACCAGCATTCATTGAGCGCCTACTGCATGCAAGCTGCAGAGTCACAAGGGAAACCAGGCAGACTGACGACTTTAGCAGGAGGAGAATTAACTAATTAATTTCAGATAAAGGCCCTCACATACGCATTAGATTATCTTAATTTCTTGAAATACAGGCATCGTAATAACAGGTCACGCCAGAAGTCCTCATGGTCCACCATCAATGTCGATAACAGGCCAGGATTGCATACGCTCCGCCCGAGGCGTGGGTTCGACCCAGAAAACTCAGCAGCAGAAATCGATGGCAGAACAAATCCATCCCCTAACCCTCTGTCTGGGGGGGGCAGTGTGCAAAAAGATGCCCCAGGAAAAACTGCCTTCACTGAGGTTGCATCTGTGTGTTTCCATAGAGACGCGATAAACAAAAACCCAATACAAGCCCGCAAAACAATCATGTACGTTTTAAAGTCTTTCCAGAGTCCCCTTAACTTAGGATATGACCAAACAGTTCTCCTCGAATTCACAATGAAGGAAAAGACTTACTCTCCAGTGGAACATAGTTCTCTGTAACAGACAACAGACCTGGCCGGGACCCGCCCTTTCTCCCTTAGCCGCAGCTGAAGGAAAGCTCAGGGCAACGTCCAGCCCCATATAGAGCTATCAACATACTTCAGGTTCTTTCTTCCATGTATTTTAAAAATTGGGCGAATTATCCCGCTTTACGCTTTTTCATATTGCTGACTCTAATCTTATTCTAAATTAGCTCAGTATAAATTGTGAATTAAATGATGAATAAGAAAATACAATGTTGCATGTAATATTAAGACATTGTATCTACTTTATGGATCAAAGCTATCGTTAGCACAGAATTAGGCAACCGTAATCACAAATACATAGTGAGGTTGCTGGCACTATAAAATACACAAGGGAATTTTTGTTGACAAAAACTAAGACGTAAACTTGATTAGCAATCAATACTTCCAAGTAAGTTAAAAGGATTTCAAAAAGTTTTAACAGGACAGTCAATTTGCCCTTGGATAAAATTTTAACAAATCATGTCAGCTTGGAAAATCATTTCTCCCTCCTTCCCTTCCTCCTCCCCTCTCACACCACCCTGTGTAGGTGCCTCGCTCTGAACTCTGGGTTTCAGCTTGGTATTTCGGTTGCTAGTTGAGCGGGCGGATAAAGGTGCACACTACTTTGAGCAGGACTGTGACGCCGCAGTCAGCGACTGGAGAGATTAGGAATCGAATAACAGTAACACGGTCCAAGAATTACCCCGCCAGGCAGATTGCCAACCTATTAACATTAGGGAAACAAGAAAAGTAAAAGATCCCACAGCAAACTGGACCCACTACTCGCTACAGGGTGTTCCTGCAATCCCGGTGAGCACGCATGCTCAGCTAGAGAGGTGAAAAGTGATAAAAGCTGCTTTCTCGATTCCGAACAGATCAGAAGCAAATGATCTGAAAAGTTAATGCTCATTTAACATAAAAAAGTTTACTGGAAGTTTCCATTCACTGTGTTTTAAGTGTCCCATAATCTAGGGGCAGAGGCCCCAAAGCCAAAAAGTGAATAAAAGTAAGCCAGTCTTCATTTGGATTTAAAAAAAAGAGACAGAGAGGAGGAAATGATTTTTGCACTAAGATGAAAATCTACAACGTGAACAATGTTCAGTAATAATAACTGTAAATATAAGATCATGCAATGCTAGAACATTCCCCAAGTATTTAATCTTTCTCTCCTTTCACCTTGGGAAGTGCAGGGACAGGTGCTACCTTCCTGGGGAAACCGAGGCACAGAGAAATTAAAGTAGCTGCCCGGCAGCGCGGTGAGTGGGCGGCAGGGCCGAGCGGTAGCCGAGGAGGAGCTGAGAGACGGGCGCTGACGCGGGCGGGGGCGGGAGCTGGGGAGGGAGAAGACCCCTGAGCGGCCAGAGTGCTCCACGCAAACCCGAGGGTGGCCCGGCGGCAGGCGGCACGCGGCCAGGGGTCAGCAGCCGCAGCGGCCGAGTGAGTCCCACCAGGGCGAGACGGAGGCTCTAAACCCTCGTCACCCCCGCAGTCACCGCCTCAAACCTCCAGGCTGCGGAGTTGGAGCCCAGTGATGTCAGCGCTAACGCCGGCCCACGGCTTGCCGGGACACCAGCACGAGTGTCACTTACGTGGCTTCACGTTAGCGCCCACCGCCAGGCTCTCGGGAGGGTGCGCGACGGGGTACCTGCCGTGCTCGCCCGCGCCTTGGTTCGCGCCGTATTCGATCACCTCCACGTGGCCCAGGGGGACGCTCCACTTGAGCAGGTACCTCTGGCTGGGGACGGCGCGGCTCTCGTGCAAGGTGCTGGAACAACGGAGAGGACCTCGTGAACGAGCATATGAACAGGCTGCGATACTTCGTAGCCTTTAGATATTCAAGCGAGACACGTTTTAATGTTGGATTTCCCTGCTTCTGACTGTCTTGTGAACGGTTACCATTTGGTGCCACAATAATCAGACGGGAGAGTGGAGCTTTTCACTTGGACCCAGGGGAGAACTGCCCAGGACGTGTTTCCCAGGAAGGGCGAAGGTTTCCGTGAGAGCTTCAAGGGAAGAGCTCTTGCTCGATGCTTGCTGGTGACTACGTGAACAAAGGTGCTCAGGCTTTCTGGAGAATTCCATCAACAGGACAAATCTTCTGTAATATGTGGACCGAGATACTGTTCCGTAAGAGTTAACCCTAAAACTTTCTCTGCTCTTATATGGTCACATGAAAATCACTGTAACAGAATTCAGCATACCATTACATTCCATGATTAAAATACTTAATATTTATTGAGTATACAGAAAGTAGATGAAAACCCAATACCTACGTAGGTTATTTTCTTCTTTCATCATCACACAGGACATACGTGCAGAGAAACACGCAGAACACACACACACATACACACACACACAGTCTAGCGAAACGGCAGAGCAAACCTGTGCGGCCACCAGCCATGTGGAGGGGTCACGTTGCCAGCACCCTGGCAGTCCCCACACGCCCAGAAAAAAAAAAAAACAGCCCCCTCCAGAAGCAACCAGTATTCTTACTTTTGGTGATAATCACATTTTGCTTTGCTTCAAAATAAACTTTTAAAAATCAAAATGTAGACAGGAATGACCACAACGCCAGGTGCTGGAAACTGAAACGCGTGACTCTCTGGGGCCACGTGTCTCCCCAGCTTCCCTCTGGCCCCAGGAACCACCGTCGGTGACAACACCTGGTCGGTATAGAAACGGAAGGGGAGGGGGGCGCTTCAGACCCAGCAAGAGGACAGGTCGTGTTCCGCAAACTAGAGTTTGCCTCCAATTAAAAAAATAGAGATGCTTGTGAATTCCTTTCAAAATTTCTATTCATCCTCTTTGAATCTAAACCCCCCGTCCCTACAGAGGAGGCAGCAGGTGCACTTGGTGGTTGGTGGACAGGGACACCGGGCACACAGAGCGTGCCACAGCTGGTGTGTGCTGGCTTGTCACCGTGGCCACGGTCCGTGGTGCCAACACTCCCTGGGAGACTTCGAGCCACGGACGGTCTGGCCACCGGCTCCCAAAGTGGAAATCTAACAACTGGCTCTTGCGCGACATTTGCCTGTGCTATTTTCTACAGCACCCGGAGCACTGTGTTCAGAGTCACACCGCTCCCTTACGATCGATCTATATTTGAAGACCCTTTAATTCTCAAACATCCTTGACTTACTACAACATTGTATGTGTTGGAGAACAATTCTGATGTCAAACTGTATTAAATAAAAGAACTAGCCCAGGCTTGGTGGCTCACGCCTATAATCCCAGCACGGTGGGAGGCGAGAGGATCACCTGAAGTCAGGAGTTTGAGTCCAGCCTGGGCAAGAGCGAGACCTTGTCTCTATAAAAAAACAGAAAAATTAGCCGGGCATGGTGGCACACACCTGCAGGCCCAGCTACTCGGGAGGCTGAGGCAGGAGGATGGCTTGAGCCCAGGAGTTTGAGGTTGCTGTGAGCTATGATGATGCCACTGTACTCTAGCCCAAGCAACACAGCAAGACCCTCTAAATGTAAAAAAGAAAGAAAGAAAGAAAGAAAGAAAAAGAGAAAGAAAAAAGAACTGCCAAAGTGTTACTCATTTTCTTGGTTTACACCTAATACGAATATAACCAATCTAGTTATATAAGAAAAACCTTACCAAAAATACATGTATAGAGAAGCAGCTATAAAGAATTTAAATAATTAAAAAAGAACCATAGAATGATTTAAGATGGTTATTAAAAAACTCAATTTAGTTTCCAGCTCTAACATCAGCCTTGTTTAAAGAGCAAATAAACCTGCACGTATCTAGTTTCCACCAGCAGTGACCTGCGGTGTACACTGAACCCGTTTAAAAACACACGTGTTTGTGACGAGGCTTCCTTCAATTGCTAAGTTTCAGCCCAGAAACCAGTTCGGCTCGAATGAGAGCACTAACAAAGGCACTCCCTTGCGCTAGACACACCCAGCCTGTAATTAGGAGACAAACACAAACGATGACGCGTGTCCCTACCGTGAGCTGACCGTGGCGCACATCAGTACGTCGTTTAACATGAAGAGGCGGCGCTCTTTGGTTTTAATAATTTCTCCTCTGTCGTTGTAAACCGTTTCTATCATGTCGTCAGATCGGACGAGGTATCGGTTCCCACTGCTGAGAAGCTGAATATTCAAAACAATAGTCAACTAAGTTACCGCAACCGAGTTTACGCAAAATAGACAGAGGAGGAGGAAAAGGTTTTGCAAAGTACGGGAGTTTCTAGCATCAGAGTTTTACGGATGTTTTTCAGGAGAACCCGCACGCGCCACTCACACTGCAGGCCCTGACTACGCACAGTTCTGAAGGCAACTTCTGAAAACCGAGCGTGTCACCGGCATCAGCATTTGCAGCTGCCCTGCACGTGAAAGGAATCTCGCTCTCCCGTGAACACAGTTTCTACACGGAACTGGTTCCTTCCTCTTTACCTGTCGTTCCCCACGACTGCCCTGACCACACGCTTCCCTCTCGGGCTTTCCTGCAGTGACCCATTCGGGATTTACAACCCTAGGTCAACCAGGAACTGTTGTTACAGGAAGTAATTACTTTGTAATTTTACTTTTCCCAAAGTAAACATGATTAAGTAAGCATCTTAACTTCCCAGGATATGCCACATTTTATTCCACTGAGCCAAACAAAATACCATCAGTTCTTTGGAAAGATGCTTCGTATCAGCCAATAAAATGCTACGTCCTCTGGAAGTCACACTCCTTACAACAGTTTAACCAACGGAGTCCTCAGCCCAGGTTCTCCGTCTACACTGGCTACATTGGTGGAGACCCAGCCTCACCACCCGACTCCTCCTACCACACGCGCTCCCGGGACCGATGCGCCCTGTGCACGTTTACGCAACATTCGCGACGCACCGTCGCGTCTTCCCGTGCCTCTGGGCTCTCTGTCCCCGTGTACTCAGGAACCGAAGTGCCACGGGGAGCATGACTGTAAACAACGCGAACTACGTCAGGAATAGAACCGGATGCAATTTTCTGCTTATAACGTTCCTACGTAAATCATCTGGAGAACTGGGGGAAACCTGTGGCTTAAGATGTGTTGCCGTGAAGTTCTCATCGTTAAATTACCGAATGTCATTGGGAGGCAGAAAATCCCTCCTACTGACGAGAATAGAAGGTGACTTTAGCAACAGGGACTATTATCTGTAATAACTCAGCACAGCTCATAGGCAGTGACGTCTCCCTGCGGACCAGGCCTTAGGTAAACGCGGCAAAGCCACACCGAACCAGAGCACTGCGGCAGAGCAACATTGCAAGTGCAAAGCTCAGACACGGGCTTGCGGAGGAACCGGCATCCTCCTGCGTCCACTTCCCTCACTCGTGACCGGTACGGCCCGGTCTCCACACACGTGGGCACAAACGGAAATGTCTGCAAATACGCCCAGCTTCGATCATCACTGTCTAAAATGAACGCAGCATTTCGAAAGTAAAACTAAGCTAAAAGAGTGGCTCTTAACCTGCATCCATGTGAGCATCTAACGCATCCACGAACCCCTTCCTGAGAAAATGCAGACAGACCATCGGGGTTTTGTGCACAATCTCCAGACCTGGCGCACGCCTGCCGGTCTCCACGGACACCCAGAGAAGAGCTCTGGGCCAAGGGAATTATTCCGAACGTTTCCAAAGATGAGTTACGAATGGGTGAGTAACAATGGCCTTATTAGTACAAAGCAAAAATAATTTCAGAATAGAGTTGGAAAAAAATCTGTCTCGACCTTGTTCAGGTATCTTTCGTTGATGGCCTTTGCGATTTGCTTGATTTCACAGCGCTGGTCAGCATCTCTTTTCCTTTCGTTCAGTTTCTCTGCCAAAGTCTCCAGCTCCGTCAGGGCCATCTGAATAGGCAGCCTGTCGGGGTGTCCCTTGGGCGTGTTCTTCAGCAAATCCTGCGGGCAACAAGGCAGAGCGGCAGCGGTTACCACGTGCACACCTCCGACCCACGATGAGTCGTCACCCGCACACTGACGGCCGGGGAGATGGCAGTGACATCAGTTACTCTGGGGAAAAATAGACACTATTCTTGGGAAAGGATCACGAACTGAGTCACAGCTTGGCTGAACATCTGAACAGCTCCCTTTGCAAAAACAAAACCCAAAAAATAGCACTGTACGATGAAGGACGCGCTGACTACGCACATGGCACGATCTTGCAAATGTTTTGCTCTCTGCAACGATGTTCCAGACCACAATTAGGTTGTTTCTCTCAAGTTGAGTCAGACGAGCGAACGCAGGCATAGACGGGTCCAGCTACTTTTTACGAAAACTAGTTTCCCAACATCAAGGGTGCAGCAGTTTTGCGGGGTTGACGCTGTGCCCACAGCATCAACCCACACAGCAGGGGCCCTCTCTGGGCCTCCCAGCCACACTGAAAACGGGGCCTGATTGTAGGGGAACCCAGCTACTCTGTGGGATGCACGGTGGTGGCCAACCGTCACGATGCCTCTGTCCAAACCCACAGGGCGTGCAGCTCCAGGGCTGACCCGCGCGCAGACGGCGGGCTCCGGGTGGTCAGGGGGTGTCCGTGTGGGCTCGTCACCCTCACAGGTGCACCCGCGGCTGTGCGTGTGGGGAGAGGGGTACCTGAGAACCCCTGTACCTTCCTCTCGATTTTGCTCTGAATCTAAAACTGCACTAAAAAAATAGTCCAGTCTTAAAAGAAAAAGAAGGCTGAGCCTTCCTCTCTTCCACCCTGCAGTCTCAGATGAGCCTGAGGACATTTCGCGGAGGGCGCAAGGCACAGAGCCACAATATCGTCACCAAAAAGATGGCCCAAGGCTGGCAACCCACATAAACCCTGAACAGCAATGACGGACGACCTTCTTGTCACCTAGAGCTTGCACGGAGCCTGCTGCCCAACTCGCTTTCACACGCGACGCACCGATGTGCCGAAGGGGCGAGGCTGAGTCTGAAACCCTCCTCAGACTGCGTGTGGTCCCACCCTCACCCACCAGTTTTTACGTGTTTGTGTAGGACCTGGGCAGTAATAGACTTCAACAGCATGCTCGTCTTTCCAGACCTTCTTTTAAAAACCTGAAAAGAACACTGCGTAGACGAGCAAATGTTTCCAGGCTGGATGGAAAATTTAAACTACTCTGCACATTTGTTTTCCTGGGAGTCGCATCAAATTCTAACAAGGCAGAAAAGGAAGATCTTGAATCTAATTCTGGCACCAACACAGTATACTGGTGGTGCCCGCCCCGCGATGCAAGCACGACAGACGGAAACCGCAGCCCGTGGTCCGGCCGAGCCGCCGGGCCGACCTGCCAGGCCGCAGCCCCACGAGCACAGACGTCAAGTTCCTCGTTGCCGTTGTTACCAGGAATTGCCATCTAACACGGACCTTTGTACAACGCAGGAGGAAAAAGTTAGCTGAGATAAAGTAAGACGGAGGCACGGGGCGGACAAGGGTTCTGGAGCCCACATGGGAAACCCGCCGTCCCGGCCCTGCCGCACCTACCAGGGGACAGCGGTAGCCGCTACCGTCTCGGTAAGAAGGGCCAGGAGCACCTGCGGGACAAGGTGCGCCAGGACCAGAGAGCAGAGACCAGGAGAGGCACCGGGGGAAGGGAGGGCATCCCAGGCCCCTGCTGTCTCCCCCCACCCACGCCCAGCACACAGACGGTAGCAGCAGGCAGGAGGGAGGGTGCGAGCTTGCCAACGCCCCTCCAGCCAGTCTCCTGCCCAATCCCAGGTGCACCTGATCCCTAACCTGGGAGGCAGGGTCCGTGGCCACATCCACACAATTATTCCAGATGCAGAAACCGCCTTGTCTCTGACTCCAGCTGTGCTTTTTCCAAAGCAAAGCAAACCCACCCTGCTCCCCTCTGGGAGGAATCTCCAGGGCGCTCCAGCAGTTCATCAAATATGGCCAAAAAGTGAGCCAGGACCGAAGGTTTGCCCCACAGAGAAAACCGCTCAGGCGAATCTAGGACCCACGGTTCCCTCTGGGCTGCGTCCTCCGCCAAGCAGCATGAGCCCGGCGTGGCGAAGTCTAAGGGGGGTCTCAGGAAGGCCCACGGTGGGGGCGGAGAGAGTGGGGAGGGAAGAAGCGATGGTGTAAACTGACCTAAACAACTCTGCGGGTGCCTGTTTGGAAGAACATGGCAAAAAGTGCTTTCAAAGCAAAATTCTCGAGTCTATTGTAACTGGAATTCTGAGTTGAAGAATGTTCTTCTCAGTGAGGCAACCTGAAGTCATGTCCCAACACAGAAAGAAATCCAGGCCCAACTATACCCAGCCTTTCCCTAAACACAACCTACTGACACGTAAAGGAAGAACACAGACGCAGACGGGGCCTTCTCCACTGGCGGGGACAGACCCGCTTCCGCTCAGGAAATGTGCTCTCGCTCACACCCTCCACTTTACCTGCCATAAACTCCTCACGCGCACTCGCCGCGTGTCCCGTCTCTCCCCCGGTCGGGCCGAGGCCTGCGATTGCCCCGAGCCAGGAGCCCAGGCACCGGGGAACGCTCCAAGCCCAGCGAGGACTGAACCGCGACACGAGCTTCCCCATCGCTGCCCTCCCCGTCCTCGGCGCTTGGCGGAAGGAATCTGCGACTGGCACATCTTTCCTGGTCTCGTCTCGGCTTTGCAAGCCTGTCCCCCCTCTGGACACAGAGCGGGGAGTTTTTCCCCGTGACTCCAGACCAGACGCGGCACAGTCAAGACCGGCCGCCATCTACGCGGCTGCTGGGCACCCACCGCGCCGGCAGCTCCCCCAGGGCTGGCGCCCCGGCGACGCCTGCACGTGGAGCCCTCCGCCCTCACCCCCCGACCCTCGACAGCCACCCAGAGGGCAGTCGGGGCAGAGGCGGCTCCCGCCACGTGGCCCAGCCGACTCTCTTCCCACCCCGAGCCCTCCTCACCTGGAGCAGGAGGATGAACTGCGGGAAGCGCTGGATGGGCCGCATCAGCAGGCTGTAGAGCGTGATCCGGTCGGGACTGGCCTCCTGGCACTGCTGCGGGGAAAGCGCCAGGCTCAGCGGGCTGCGGGGCCCCCGCGACCCAGGACAGTCGGGACAGGACTCCCGGCTACTCAGGAGCCCCCAGCTCGGCTTCAGCTGGAAGAAATTTCACCAAATTCCTTTCAAAGTACTCTCTGCACCTGCGCCGGGGGATTCGCTCCGGCTGCCACAGCGGCTGCCATGGAGGGCCAGGTCTCACCGCCTGGGCCTGGCGCTGGGCGGATTCCGGGGGTGTCCGGGGGTCCGTGTTCTGGCCACCGTTTGCCAGGGAGGGGGTGCTGAGTGGGACTGGGCTGTTGCTACCTGAGGCCGCCGGGCGGTGCCAACCTGGGGCGGCACCAGGTGTCCAGCTCCCCGGGCTGAAGGGGCAGCACCCAGCGCACCGGCCCCTCAGCTCGCCGGCACCGGGCTCTCAGAGGCTCAGGCCTCAGGCCAGAGTTCATCTCCTGAGGCCGCCGGCGAGCTGAGGGGTAGGGGCTGCGGTCACAGCAGGGGCCGAAACAAGTCCTCAGAGCAAACGTGTGGCTGACTCAGTCCCTGTTTTCTCTCCCTACAAGGAAGAAGCTGCCACAGCAAAAGGCCACGGCGTCTGCAACTCTGCATAATGGGGACTGCGACCCAGTCCCTCAGCAAACCCGGATGGGCCACAGCTCCGCTCCCGCCAGGCGGGAACCACCTGGAACCATCCTGCCGGGTGCGGGGAGGGGAAACACTGCGCTGGGCAGGCAGACTTGCCCTGTGTGCCCTGGCCCAGGCAGCAGCAGTGTCCAGGAACCCAGCCCAGGGGCAAGAAGACACTCTGTCCCAAAGCTTCATGATGCAAACGCGAGTCTCCCACAGAGGAGCCCGCGCTGGGCCGGTGGCCACGGGCTTTGACGCGGGAACTCAGTCTGGTCCACTGCGCAGCAGCCGTCCTCACAGCCTCTCGGGACCGGGGAAGCCCCGCCACCCCCAGTGGAGTGACACGTGCCTGCGTCAGGGGACAGGCTGTCCTGCTGCGGCGCCAGGGCCCGGGAAGGCTGCAGCTCTCTCCTCCCCGGGCGGGAGGAACAAGGCCACGTCCCACCTCGCCTGGGGCCAATCCGGAAGCCAGAAGTTGGGTTTCTATCATTCCTGACTAAACGCTGAAGATGGGGGTGGGGAGGTAACTTCAGGAGCGGATCTTGACGTTCTTTTTGTCTGCCCCTCACACGTGAGGATGTGCAAATAAAAGCTATTTTCAAAAAGCTACGTTGGGACCTAAAATTCCTCTTCATTTCTACGCTAATCCGACACCTACGGTACTGCTGGTACCGAGATCTTTAAGTAACATTATGCATTCAGGGTCGCGACGCGGTAAAGTATGATTATGAGGTATTTGACATGAACTTCAGAGGGTATTAAAACCCAAATGGAGAAAAGGGAGTTACCTTTAAAAACTCGAGAAAAGCAGGCTTTGTGGCACACGTTTTCTTGAGGACGGCCACAGCCGTGCTGAAATTGTTCACATACTCGCTGTAGGCGTCCAGGACCATGGACTTGGAGAACTGAAGCACAGGAAATGGAGGATGAGAAGTAACTCAGGGGCCCAGACATTCCCTTTTCTAACTTAAAAGAGAAGATTTGAAACCCGCCCCCAAAACACCCTTCCAGCCACCGCGACAAACTTTATCACAACCGCGTGGTTTTCTTCTAGGCCCCTCGGGAAACGGCCAGAGGGCTGTTGCATCTTATTCTCGGGGCCCCGGTGCACTTCCAGGCACCCTTGTTCGAAGCCACGGTAACCAGGGGTTCGGTTAAGAATGTTCCTGACTACAGAGAAATAAACACGACAATTACAGACGAGCTGCTTTAAACTCCTGCCAAGCCTCATTCAGTGGCTTCCAACTCCGGGACTCGGGCTGAGACCGCTGGCTAATTGCAATAACGGGGCCCCCAGCGGCCCCCGCAGGACCTGAAACCAGCGGGGACCACCCACTGCAGGGGCCTCAGAGGGGAGCCCACTCCCCAGGCCAAGGTGCAGGGCCCCACACACGCTCGCTTCCTAAAAACACAGAGGTTTCAAGAGGTAGAAACAGCTGTCCCTGGTGTCAGCATTCAGAGAAAAAACTCATCCGTGTTACACTCCTGAGACACCGCAAGTCCCCTGTGATGGACAGAGGGACGGACAGCAGCGTCCCCAGAAAGATCTGGCGGGACTGTCACCGAGGGAAGAACGCTTTCCTCTAAATTATGTGTTTTCTCAAAAAAGACTTTTTTCCATTTTAAAAAATGTTGGCCAGGTAAATATTTAAAGAACAGAGACAGAGTTGAAGCTAATATATAAAATAGCCAAAAAATGCTGTAACAAAATAAATATCCAATATTTTTTTTTGTTTTTCATAAAGATCCCATGAAGGGTGTTGTGCGAATATCTTAGCAAGAATTTTGTGTCCATGTTATGCCCAGAACATCCTACAGCTAATGGACTTCACCAAGTGCACACATAAATTATTTAGGAAACACAAAAACATTTCATATATCATTATTACAGCGTTCGTTTAAGTATACGACCACTTTAAAAAAACTTGCAAGCTCATATCCCTTTGATGACATTATTATCTTAAGTAGTTACAGAAACTAACCTGTTTTATTTATAATAGTCCACATCTAGAGAAATGTAACCAAAACATAGCATATAACCCGCACGGGGAGCAGACATAAAACCACTCAGAACTGCCACTGCAGACACTCAGCGCCGGGAGCTTCTGGGCTGTGTCTCCTGATAGGAAACATGGACGCGCTTTCCTGCGTCGCGGCGCAGGGTCAAACACTCTGCATCTGCACAACAGAAAACTCCAGACCAAAGAGCAAAGTCTGAGGAAACATATTTCCCAGGATGTGTCTCTTTCTTTTTTTTTTTTTTTTTTT